ACCTCTCTGATTAAATCTTGGCGCATTAAAAATACCAGTTTAATCTTAGAAGGATTCCTAAGCTTGGGTAAGTTGATTATAGTTTACGAGTACCATGATATATGTCTCTATTAAGTTAGCCGCTGCTGCAGGGAGGAAAGATTCAGCTGTGTGACCGCACAGAACTAAGCCATTCTTGGTGTCCAGACACTCAAGCCCCTGAAATCAAACCTTTCCCTTCGCAGGCTTATAGTTTGTGCCCTACCTGACTCATACCATTATAAATATATTAAACTCAGCAAGTTAATTATTTTCTAACCAGCCGACAGAGTTCGTGTCGATTAGCGGGTATATTTAACTGGGTCACACTTCAGCCAGCTAGGCACTGTGACGTCAGATGTTTTTTTTAGCACAACAACACTGGGTGTGCAGTGGGCAGACTGTGGAGGTATAAAATATATATATGTGAGAGAGAGAGATGGGATGTATATCTACAATTGCAGAGGTGGGCGAGGAGAGTTGATGTTCTATGTTAGTCTATCTGTCTCCACTCTGGTACTCGTCTCTTGTCCCTGTTACTGACTGAACAACAGAGATGATATTTAGAGACTTATGCTGTCTCATTATCATGAAAGCTGTCCTCTAATTGATTACTAATGTGGGTGTTAATAAACTGTGCTTGACATGTAACCCCTGAGATGACTGCTAATTATGAGTTCCTTCTTGATACAGGATGATATCTCCTTGGAGGGCAGGCAGTGAATCAGCGGTCACAAAACCACCCAGGCAATGAATCAGCGGTCCACAAAACCACCAACAATGAAGTCACCTATGTCCATGCCAGTGGTGGGCATCCAATTGTAAACCAAACTTTTGTCATCTATTAGGGAAATCTTCCAGTTGGTCTACAGACAACATTATGGGTGTTGTACCTTCACCATCATTTATCCGGAAGCTTGTTTGTGCCTCAAGTGATTGACTTAGTACCCGAGAACCTCTCCAGGATCTTGTGTGTATCTCCAGTGTTCGAGTGTCTAGTGTAGGACTGTCTTCGACGTAACAACAGAGTAACTGAACATCCAGCAAGTTCAAGAAATCAGGCATTCAGATAAGTGTGGTCAATAATTGGTTTACTGCCGGGCTTCACTGTTAATCGTCCACGTGATCATAATGATGATCTAGGCGGACCTTGGGAGTCTCTTACTCATTCAGTCAGATCTATTTTGAAGTTTTTGTCCTTCCTATCACTCTGGGTTCTTGGAGTTCTTTGCTGATTCCTAAATAATGTATGTGTTATATTTATTACATGTTTGGAAAGTTTATTTTTGACTTGAGTGTCCATCATTTACTGTTCAAACTGTCTAGCTGTTATGTTTGTGTGATTAGTAAGTGTAATCTGTGTTAACATGGCTGTGATAGTACACTATTATAGCCTGGGGGCTATCTTTTTATAGTAGTGGGGGTGTCCAGCCAAGTTGCGCCTAGGATTGTTAGATATTCTGTAGTGCCAGAACTTGAGTTGCCCTACTCCTGAAATAAGTATATTAGCCACGGGATATCCCTTAGACCAATATGAGTCGACGCATCAATATTATTTTATTTCAGAGTGCTGTTGGTTCTTAAGGAGAAATTCTTAAATCAGGCACCACACAAGGGGTGTGTGACAGCTTACCAAAAACCCAAGCAATATATAAGGGAGAAAAAAATGATAAATAGTACATATTTTATAGGGAATGTTATAGTTGCGAAATGAAACAATTACCCACTTTAATAAAAGGATATATATGTAAAAAAAAAAAAAAAAAACTAGATTCCAGAATCTCAACCCAAGGTGTCGTATTAAAACCCAGTTCTTGGATGAAAGCCCAAGTACTGGCAGCCCTGGTGGACGGGAACGCTGTCAGCGCTGCTGTTGTTTCTCGACCACTTAGATTTACCAATTCCGACTGAAAATTCCGTGGATTCTAAATATTAACAGACGCATAAAAAATGCTACAATAGTTCTAGATGTTTAAAAAGTAGCTCACTTAACATTATTAATTTACTAAGTATCTGAAGTTAATTACTAAAGAATCATCTTAGAAAATGCGCAATGATGGCCGAAATTAATTATTGGGATTTGGGGGTGATCAGAAAAAAAAATATCCAACAGAGAATACGAAGGGCTCTAAATAACGACAGATGCATGAACAAATGCTACAATGGTTGTGGATTTTTTTTAAATGATTAAAATAATAATGATTAGTTTATTTAATAATTATTTTAGGTTAATTATAAAGGGTCGCGGCGTCCGTGGCTAAGGCGTTGCGAGTCCGACTCGTGAGCCAGCATACCGCGATCGAAACCCACTGCAGGCTGCGTGGATTTTCGTCATGTTATGGGACGTCGCAGGTCGACCCAGCCTAAAATGGGTACCAGGATGGGCTGTCCTGGGAAAGTAAAGACAGCCGGCGTAATGCTGACCACATTACCCACAGAGTGCTGATGGTCTGTAAAAATATGGGACGCTCTGCCCATATGCCCGATGCGCCGAAAGGGGGAAAAACGGTCTCCCAGTGCAAACATTGGATTTAAAGCGAAAACAGTGATGCCACTAAACTTTTTTTTAAACATCTGCTCTGTTGCCAATCTTTGTGAAATTTCCCACACTTATATAAAAATTAACGCAGAATTTAAAAATAGAATACACATTGCGGTAATCTGGCTAAGTAAAAAGATATTTACGAAATTACTCACCGTTTTTGGATTTAATGCGAAAACAGTGATGCCACTAAACAATTTTTTTAAACATCTGCGCATTTGCAATGTTTGTGAAATTTTATACACTTATATCGAAATTAACGCAGAATTCAAAAATACAACACACATTGCGGTAATCTGGCTAATTAAAAAGATATTTACGAAATTACTTACCGTTATTGGATTTAAAGGGGAAAAAGTGATGCCACTAAACAATTTTTTTTAAACATCTGCGCATTTGCCAATGTTTGTGAAATTTCACACACTTATATAAAAATTAACGCAGAATTAAAAAATACAACACACATTGCGGTAATCTGGCTAATTAAAAAGATATTTGCGAAATTACTTACCGTTATTGGATTTAAAGGGGAAAAAGTGATGCCACTAAACAATTTTTTTAAACATCTGCGCGTTTGCCAATGTTTGTGAAATTTCACACACTTATATAAAAATTAACGCAGAATTCAAAAATATAACACACATTGCGGTAATCTGGCTAATTAAGAAGATATTTACAAAATTAATAACCGTTAATTCACTGCGTGCTGCCCCTCCCCCCCCCCCCCAAAAAAAATCGATTTATTTTATACGCGTCAAAACCATCTCAGGTCAAAGCCTAGCATCTCTCCAATAACTCCTAATAACTGTTCCGATTTTATCTTTCACGTAAAGAGCATAGAAAAATAATTTCTGAATAACAGATAAATGGTTTTGCATTTTCGGGTCGCAATCGCGTCTATAGTTACCGACGAAAATGTATAGCAAAATAAACGAAACAAAACTATCCATTGCTATACCTATATATATATATATATATATATATATATATATATATATATATATATATATATATATATATATATATATATATATATATATATATATATAGCGGCTGTCGGCTCTGTGACTAAGTCGATGCAAACGCTTCGTAATGCCGGGATGCCGGGTTCGATCCCATCTGCGGGTCATGTGCCTTGCGTCGGTTTCGACAGTGGTATCAAGAAATCCGACCGTCCAGAAAGAAATAGCAAACTACTGAATTTAAATTTGCCTAGAAAAACCACACAACAGCCAGGGGCTGTTAGGGTTGATTCTGCAACGTTCTGTAAAGGAGACGCAACTAACCTTTTAATGGCTAGACAGTCGTTTGTGCGTCGGATAGTTGTAAGTTCAGGTCTTGACGGAGCCGGATATTCCTTAAAAAAAAAAAAAAAAATGACAGTGCCTACCAAGTAGATGGATGACATGAAGTGTTCTACATCGACACGGAATGACAGTAGCCATTAAAGCCATCGAAAAGTGGATTGCTAACTGTTCATCCCCACAGCGCTTAAAAGCAGAAGTGAAAAAAGATGATGCTGATGATGATTCAAATCTGAGATAAGAATAAGACGCGTCATAATTCGGCAGGTGGTTCCGGCCGCCAATCATCAGAAGTACAGTGCTTTACAGTCGTTAACCAAACACATCATTTGATGGCTGTTTGTGGATCTGCTAGGCATATTTTACGCTCAGTAGTTTGCTACTGCTCACTGAACTGTTGGACGATCATATCATTGTCGACATCTCACCAGGTTGGTCTGTTACCTAAATACCTTCAGGTAGCTGTCGACGCCGGGTATGTCGGAACTATGAAAGTCGTCTATATCCTCAGTATGTTTGATATTAATTATACACAATTCGAACGTAATTGAAATGGATGATAATAATAATAATATTTCTTATTATTTTTTGCATTTCATTGTCAATAAATTAGCAACACATTGACAAAGACGTAAAGGTAATGTGTTTTAACGACCATTTCTCAAGCAACGACGTTCTTTACTAAATTAGCTAATAAACAGTTTAATATTTTTTAACCTGGGGGAGTGATTGGTCTCCAGGTACGATGTCCGCCTCGCGTACTAGAGGTCCCGGGTTCAGGCCTCGGTGAAGGCTTGGATTTTGTAACGTGGACTTCTAGTATTTTCCCCAGGTTACTGGGTAGTGAGATTAGACGCCCGTGTGTATTGTTGCGCACGTAATAAAATCCATTGGTAATTGGAAATTGAACAGAGTAGCCCAACGGAGCTGCCCGGGCAAAATTTTGAGTTACAAAACTACCCAAAATATGTCAGTATCCTCACCGGTGCTACGGTGCCCGTGGTTTGTGCTGAGCTACTTCAGACTCAGACTTGAGTTAGAAGTAGACCAGAGAACTTATGGGTTACTCCCGTGTGCCATGATGTTGATCCGTTGTTCAAACTTCAAACATATTGTTTAACCTGTACTGTATACAGGGGGCGTTTGTGTGTGCAAACCAGGAGTGGGCGGTCGTAAATGCGATGAATCAACTGATGAATGTTTGGGAGTTGTCTGCCCCGAAGGTACCCACTGTGTGGATAAATACAGAGGCTATGAGTGCCTATGTATGCCCGGATACAGGCTCATCGGAGGCACGTGTGAAGGTGAGAACATTTCAAGATATTAGCATGCCTTGATATTTGTTGGCATGTGTTCCTAATGCATTTGTAACAGCCCCTGGCTGTTGTGTGGTTTCACTAGGCAAATTTACGTCCAGTAGTTTGCCATTTCTTTCTGGAAGGCCGGCCCACTGATACCACTGTCGAAACCAAAGCAAGGCGCATGGCCCGCAGCTGGGATCGAACCCGGTACCCCAGCATTACGAAACGTTCGCATCGACTCAGACGCAGAGCTGACTTATAAAACTACTACATCTTCTAATAAAACAATTGATTTCCTTGAATTCTCTGATACGACTGACCACGAGTCTAGCTCGGGCCTGCCCACGTCTACTCAACAGGCCCTAAATATCCAGTGCGGTCACTTGGTGCCCGGATGTCCTGCCTGGCTGGCTATATGCGTGGAGAGCATGCGTAGCATCTCGTAACAAATACATACACATACACACTCACACACACACACACACACACACACACGCACACACATGTGTGTGTTTATGTGTGCGTGCGTCATGTTTATGTTTGTGTGCGTCACTGAGTCAGAATATGCTTTCAGTTGAACTTTTGCTTGTTAGACCTTGGTTCCGAGGTCGAATACGCCTAAAATATGTATCAGGAAATGGCATGGGAAAAAAGGCAGCCGATGTAATGTTGACCACATAACCTTTCTAGTGCTATTTTACTTCATCATCTATGGTTCTAGCATCATACTCGTAGGAAAAAAAGTGTAATTTTGTTTTTAAAACTATGTTTACGTCGACACGTTAAATGTATTTCCATTTACAGAAATCACCATCACCGCTGTAACACTGGAGTCACAACCTGGTGTTGGAGAACTAGTTGATATTTACATCCTGTACAAGCTGCCAAACATATATTTCACCCAACAGTCGAGTCTGCCGGATTTTGTATACACGGTAAAACCAAAAAACCAAAAACAACAAAACTGTCTATCTGACTTAAATCGATTCTGTAGATCTGCAAGATTCTGTAAGATATAAGCAACCGGGTTTATGTGGGAGTTCTTAGTGCGTTAACGTTTGTAAGTAAGATAATGAGATATGTTTTTCTTTTTCTCTACACACCTGCTACGATGTCGTTTTTGCTCGTTGTTGCGTGTTATAATTCTTATTGTAATTAGGTTGAATCATCATCATCATGGATATATATATATATATATATATATATATATATATATATATATATATATATATATATATATATATAATGCAAAATCAACTGAGCATGCAACCGAAGGAGTATAATTTGTGATTTAAATGTATACATATTCACAATCTTAGGGAGTCGCCGTGGCCTATCGGCTAGACGCTCGCCGCGGATCGGAAGGTCGTGGGTTCGCTCCCTGGCGGAGCCGGACTTATTTCAAAAATGACCTTGGCTCCCAGGTCGACCCAGCCTTGAGTAGGGACCGGGTGCAGTCCCGGGAAAGTAAAGGCGGCCGGCGTGATACTGACCACATCACTCATCTTGTGCCGATTGGTCTATAAAAATATAGGTCTAGCCCTATATGCCCTATACGCCTAAAGGCGTGGAAAAGGGTCCTTTACTTTTTTTTTATATTCACAATCTTGGCAGTAGAAAGTACACCCCGTGGAGATTGTGCAACGCACACTTACACACATGAGCGCACGGACACGAATGCATATATATATATATATATATATATATATATATATATATATATATATATATATATATATGTATATATATATATATATATATATATATGTGTGTGTGCGTGTGTGTCGATAATATACACATATATATCCAACCAAACAATAAGAAGTTTTTAGAAATTTTTTGCCATTCAAGTTCAAAAGCCCTTATTCCCACAACATTTTTATCGGATTATATATACGGTTATGAAAACTGAAATCTCATTGCAAAAAAATAGTTAAACTGGTATACATAGAGTGTGTACATATAATGTGTGTATATATATGTATGAGTTTGTGTGTATAAGTTTATGGGTGTTTGCGTGCACCTAAAGCATACAGTCTTGATATCATGTATACAAGATACTTACATGCACTGTCCACAGCTTCAGACTCAAGAGCCTCAAAAACGGATCTGTCAGTTCAGCTTGAAAGATACATACAAGATCGTCACCGGGAGTGAGCAGTTCTTCAGTAAACTAAAGGCAATATGTTCTTACCATTAAGCACTCATTTGAGACAGTTGTTTAAACTACGTCACACATAGGTAGCAAAGGAATACACGCTGTATAGTAAGTAAAGTAACAGACCCTTTTTCACGCCCGCATGTCTATTAGAACTATAGGCCTAGACCTACATTTTAAACACCAATCCTCACACAGTGGTGATGTGGTGAGCTTCACGCTGGCCATCTTTGCATTCCAATACCTTCAATACCTTGGCTGATACCCATTTAAAGCTGGGTCAACCTAGAAGCCAAGGTCACTTAAAAAAAAGGCCATCACTGTTTAGATTTGAACCCATGACCTTCAGAGTCGCGTCTAGCTGGTACACTACGGCAGCTCCCAGCACATATTTTTAAAGGATTAAACAAATAAATATGTGTCCCACCTACACAGAAAACTGTTTACATACCGTCAGTAATCAGCAGTTTTTGTGTGTGTCAGATACTGTGTGTGCGCCGGTTCTTTGGATATTCAAAACCAGATAAAAGTTATTATCTTTCCGCTTCTTGGTCCTTGATATCACTGATTACTTTGGATATTTTTCTGCAGGCTATGCCGGCGTTTTAAGTAATGAACAGGCAGCCATATTGGCTAAATCTGCACCATTGGGTGGGGAATTGATACATGACAAGGGAGATGTGGTCAATGCCTTTTAGGAACAAGAAAGGAGATAAGTAGAAAAAGGAGATTATTTTAGCCTGGGGAGAATAGGCCACCTGGGTTTAATCAGAGCGTTTGGGCAGCTCACTACACTCAGAGGAAAGGCAAAACGGACATATAAGCATATTGTGACCGCTACAATCAATATTGGAACTCTGCGCTGCCTGCTGGAGATAAGATCAGAGCACGCATGGGAGTGCCGCGAGTGCTGTGATATAAATACTTGACTTAACTCAACTATAAACTTCAGTCGTGAATCTGCCAACCTATCTCATGAAACAAACCTATGAGCTTTGGAGCGCGAGGTAAATGGCTGAAAGAGTCGTATGGAAGGCAATACGGACAAAGAGCAAGAACAATGCTAAAGGACCTGGTGAAGTACATTGTTTTATTTCTTTCAGCCATACCCTCACTCACGCTCTGTGTTACGAGGCGTTCATTACAACCTTCCGCTAGCTTGAGAATCAGCTGCACATACGTGCCGGTATTGTAACTTGACTCACAGAGCACGTTGATAAAGGTGGAGACATGTATGCCTCATGCAGAGTGACAAGTATAGCTTTAGACGTTCCGAGTAGTTAGCGTCCCTTGGATGTTTGAAGGTGACGTTTGAAAATGAACAAGCAGATAAATTGGCTAGCTGTGCAAAACTTGGCTGTACATTAATGCATGACAAGCTAGATGCTGTAAGGGCTCTTTGGCAACGAGTAAACAGTGTGGAGGCGCAGATCATCACAGTCTGAAGATAATGGTGCAGACAGCTGTGACTATGGAATCTGGATGACACTCAGTATTCATGGAACAGACGAAAGGTATATGCAATCAGACTGGTACTGGTCCCATCGATTTGGACTTCTGCGCTTGGTGCTCAAGATAAGGACACAGCGTATATGATTGATTTGATTTGATTTGATTTAAAAACCGACATCACAGCACTCTGGGCATTCCCATAAGCGCTTCGTCCCCATCTCCAGCGAAGAGTTCCGATACGAATGGTGCCAGTAGCATTCTGATTAAACGTCCGTCTTACCTTTCCTCTGAGCCTCGAGCATCTGCCAGAACCTCTCTTTACCCCCCCCCCCCCACCTCTCTTTGCATTAGTCTCACCAGACTGTGGTGATCCATCTGCTCCTCCTAATTGTACACGCTCTCCCACAAGGCACTAACCATGTCTGCCCTATCATGTATCAGTTTTCCACCAAGCTGTGCAGAGCCAGCCAGTCTATCCGCCTGTTCATTTCCCAACACACCGGCGTGACCCGGAGAAAAAATCCAGACAATACTCCTCACTCGTGTCCTCCGCTGCGAAGCATGCCACTCTGCACGAAGCATACCTGTTCTGATCTTCCTCAGCATGCTTTATGCATCAGTTACAATCACGATGTGTGTGTGTGTGTGTGTCGTGTTCTCTAGCCAGCGGAAAGCTGCAGTGACCGCCTCCACCTCCATTCATTGCTAGGCTCTCCTGCATCAAACGTCGACCAATAACTTTTGCTAAGAAGCCCCAAGCACTTCTTTTGCCCCTTGACACTGAACCGTCTGTGTAAATGATAAAATCCTGCGAGCGAGCATTATCTTGAATTAATTATGCGCTTATGAGAATGTCCTGAGTGCTTTGAAGTAAGTTCCTAACTTGGAACTTATAACCCTACCCTTTTCTTCCCTAAGTACTGTATATAATGATCAACATTTCACTACAGCATTGCATCTTCCTTTGCTTCCACAACTGACCCTAAGTCTGTATTAGGAACTCTCTATAAATATACTGATTTAGTCTTCTGCTCAATTGTTAACCTTTCTAACTGATTTCAATTCACTCTTTCCATACTTTGGATGAACTCAGTAGGTTAAGACTCGCATTTTGTGCTTTTAATTAAACTGTTAACAATCATTGTGAAATAAGGCATCTAAGTAAAATGTAGTGGTTTGCTAGATAAGAATGTGAATATATAAATTTGCATAAGTTTAATGTAAATTCTAATTTGCTTGAATGTTTGCATCTGATATGGTGGCTTTTGTTTTTCAGATCGACAGTCATTCCTACAACTTTTACTCTCATATCTTGGTCAGCTTTACGGAAGCGACAAATACAATCTTGCATCTGGTTCCAGGAGGCTTAGAGTATAACGAACTGATATTGGAATTCGATGTGCGTCACAAAAGCCAGTCGACAATTGACTGCCTTCGAGGCATGAGAATTATCGGAACATCATCCACACTTGCTGGGGCTGATAGTTACAAAAGACAAGTAGGACCAATTGATTTACAAGACATTATTACTTGACAATTAATTATTTATTCCTTGCTCACATAGACTTCGTTTTGTCGTTTCAGCCTCCTCCCGATGTGCAGTTATTGTGACCATTAGGTCGGCTTTCAGCGGCTAAACCTTTTTAAAATTATTTTATTTAATTATATTCACACGTGTCTCTATATCTTTGTTGACACATAAGGCATTCATTAGTGATCTGTACTAATGCCGGTTTGAAGTTTTTCCTATGCCCATTTACATTCTTTCGTTACTTTCTTCTGTCGTTCTCCAGGTTTCCATATGTTGTTAACGTTTTTTTTATTTCCGTCTGCCACATACAACTCGTGTCGCGTGCCTGATTTAAGGATTTCTCCTTACAAACCACTCTGAAATAGAATAATATTGAGGCTTCGGATCGTATTGGTCTAAAGTTTATCCCCGTGGCCAATATACGCTCAACCTATTTCAGGAGTAGGGCAACTCAAGTTATGGCACTACAGAATATCTAATAATTCCAGGCGCAACTTGGCTGGACGCCCCCACTACTATAAAAATATAGCCCCCAGACTATGATAGTGTACTATCACAGCCATGTTAACACAGATTAACAATAATAATCACACAAACATTCAAGCTAGACAGTTTGAATAGTGAAACAGGGACACCCAAGTCAGCAATAAAAACTGCTGAATGGATGTAATAAATGCAACACATATATATCAAGACAGTCAAAGATAGTCCCCAGTGACTGGAGTTCGGGAACTAAAGTTCATGAAGTACTGTTGAAACAGCCAGAGTCAGTTCTTGAGAGTATCAGTGGTAATCACTGTGACTCGGGTAGACCTGTAAATAGAGCATGTGGAATGACATCTCAGATGTTACTTATCAGTTTGGTAGGTCACTGCTCCCCTCAGACCATGATGATTTGAACAGGCTGACTCAGTAGACTGCTTCTCATCTGGTTGCTCTTGCAAACACTGACAGCGTTCATGTATGGGGATAAAGGAATTGTGCTGGAGCCCAACAAAGCTCCTGAAGAAGGATTCCTTGGAGTGATGACACTGGGTGGCCTGAAACAACTACCTCTCAGCCACTGGAACTCACACAAGCTCTTGTCATGTTGAAGTTGTGGTGGTAGTAGGTACTATTGGTGGATGGTAGTTGGTTGGACTGTGAATCGTTTGCCTGACTTCCACGGAGGCATCATCCTGTGTCAGGAAGGAACTTAGAATTAGTATTCATCTTAGATCACATACCAAGATCAATTTATTTCCCTTCACCCTTCTCAGTCATTCAGAGGATAGCTCTCAGGAAAAGGAGACAGTTCCCTCTTCATTTATCTCTGTCTGTCAGTCAGTACAAGAGATAAGAGACAAGGTCCATTGTGGAGATAGATAGACACTAATACACAATGATCATCCTCTCTCCACCTTTCTATCTGCACTTGCAGACACACATTCTATCTCGTTCTTACATATATTTTTTTACACCTCCGCAATCTGCCCACTGCACACACTGTGTTTTTGTGCTAAAAATAACCTTTGACGTCACAGCGTCTTGCCGGCTGGAGTGACCCAGTTAAATATGTCGGCTAATCGACCCGAACTCTGTCGGTTTGTTAAAGAATAATTAGCTTGCTAGGCTTAAAATATTTATAATCGTATTGGGTCAGATAGGGCACAAAGTATCAGCTTGCGAAGGAAAAGATTAGGTTTTAGGGGCTTGAGTGTCTGGACACCAAGAAAAGCCCTGTGCTGTCTCACAGCTGAATCTTTCTTTCCTGCAGCAGCGGCTAACTTTATAGAGACATATATCATGGTACTCGTAAACTATAATCAACTTACCCAAGCTTAGGAATCCTTCAAAGATTAAACTGGTATTTTTGAATGCGCCAAGATTTAATCAGAGAGGTAAAATACTTCTTTACACTTAGGAAGTCTGGCAAAGAATGACCCCGCCTGATCTCGATTGGCGTCTTTAAAAAAAAGTGCCGGATTAGTAAAAAGGCTTTTATTAATTCTGAATATTAATCCAGAAAATATCTATCCCACAGTCGCAAGTTTGAAAA